GCTTCGATAGCCCAGCCCGTTTGTTGAGGTATAGTTTTTTTGGCGCCATTTCTAAAATGAAGGAAAATTTCTGTATTACTTATTTTACTTCAATGTGCATAACTGGATTTCTGTGCAATACCCAATAATGGACACAGGCGTCGGACGCATTACAGGTAGGCATCAGTATTTTTATAATGGAGAAGATAACAAGGTTACAATATTAAACTTTTAAGTACGTAGGTAAAATGTCTAGACCAAACACATAATTCTAGTTTTTATTTCACATCGATCGGTGCACTATTACCGAAGTTATAAGCGTGGAAAGTTTACGTACATTTTTAAAATCTCGCCCGTGCCCGCGAGTAACGCGTGACGTCATAGATTCCATGCGGCCGCGCCGCCATACCGTTCCAGCGCGCCGATCATACGTTTTGTAGTCATTGAATTAATATATAAATCAATGTTTGTAGTAATATTTCGCGGGTGAGTTGTTTGCCGTCGTGCGCTCTGGTGTTTTTTAAGTATTTAATGATGGAAGAAGGGTTTCAAAAGGTCAATCTGACAACCTTCCAATAGTCCGTGACATGATGGTGGCGGAATATTTTCTAAGAAACAAAGATTTTGTCGCGGCTGAAATACGCATAAGATAATATTTTATAACCTAGATACCCATTATTACATTAATACTTCTGGGTTTCATTTGCTAATGATAAGAATAAGTATAACAAAAATACGTAAACATTCCTTACCTACCTGCTTACTATATGCCTCTAACTAGTTTTGTTTTCTTATTCTTCTTAAGTGCACCCTGACCTTTTTGGAAAAGAAATTCCCCCCCAAAAAATCCCAAAAAAAAAAAAAACCCCCCTAAAATAAAATTTTTTTCCATCAAAACCCCCCCCCCAAAACAAACCCAACACCCCCCCCCCCCCCAAAAAAACAAAATAACCCAAAAAAAACCCAACCACCAAAAAAAAAAAAAAAAAAAAAAAAAAAAAACAAAAAAAAAAAAAAAAGGAACCCCCCCCCCAAAAACAAACCCAAACCCCCCCAACAAAAAAAAAAAAAAAAAAAAAAAAAACACAAAAAACAACCAAACACCCCCCCCCCCCCCCCCCCCCCCCCCAAAACGCAAAAAAAAAAAAAAAAAAAAATAAAAAAAATAAAAACAAAAAAAGGTTTTTATGGTTAAAAAAAATCCTGTTGTATATAAAGAAATTTACTACATACTAATATACCTTCGGTGTATAAAAATATGATTTTATCTAAAAATCAGATGTTTTCAATATTAATAGAAAAAGGGTCGCATTATTATTATGATTAAAAGCGTAGTTATATATTCTTCAGGCAAGAGATCAATGTCAATATTATCATCTAGAGTAGCAACAGGATCGACAACATATCTATACTCAATTTCTTGTGAAGTAGTGGCAATCGCATGTGCAACTGTTTCTGACCTAGATTTGGCATTTAGTTTTGATAGTAAACATCTTTGGGGTTTTTCTGTACACCGATTTTGACAAGCAAACTTGTGAGGCAAAACATCTTTCTTAAGTTTGAGGGGACCACCAACTAGTTTGTACTTCACGTAGTTTTCCATATCGTTTTCGACCTAGAACAAAATACAAACTTATTTAAAATCTATAAAAAAATAAGGAACCTCGTAATTTGTATTCCATCAATATTTAAAATATGTACCAACTATGTAATACATAAAAATAGGACAACATGAAAAAAAATTTACGTGTTCCACTTCATAGACAAACTTCTTCCATCATTTGCGGCCCGCAAAGTATGCAGGTTGAACAGCTCTGCGATGTGTTTAGTTTTTACTCGAATTTTTGCTCGTAAAAATATAAAAACGTTTGTTAACATATTCCATATTTTAACCTTTATATTAATGCATTATAAACATTTTAAAATTTGCTGCAAACATAGGTAGGTATCTAAACTTACGAACTCACGACAGGTCATTGACTTATCTACATTACATAGGTAAGTACTTTACCCAAGTTTGGATGTTTATTTACACTGAGGTAGTTTTAGTTAAATATGTAGGTATTAGGTATTCTTTCTTCTTGAAATTATAATGATCATTAAGCGTAGAAAGCTTCAATGAATCGTTAGTTACTTAAACACTGCGACTCGAGTAGGTACCAACATGCCTACTAGAAAGCATTTACTACCAATAATCAAGAGCTATCATGTGAAGATTATTATTATTTGAATACTTACATCGAAATGATCACAAACAACAATATGCTACCGTGTTTGGTCCTTAAAGATGTGCTCTTCTCATAGCATTTGTCCATTTATTTATGAGGGTATGGTTTCTAGGCACATTAAAAAACAACTCTTCAGGTGTTTTTGTGGCCGTATTTTTATATTGAGACACAGCACAATATTTAATAGATGGTGTCATGTTCTATAACGTTTTTTGTTAAAAATATATAGCAAGTAAATCTGCGTGCGACGGGCACGTTCGAGTAAATCTTTTGATTTTCTAAGTGCGCGTCGGGTCTCTCGCACGAAGATGGAAATTGTGACGTCATCAACGATGTCGCTCTCGGCCCGCGGCTTAGACCGAAAATGTTAACTTTGCGCCTTTATATCTCGGTCAGTTTTGAAGATAGAAAAAAATTAAAAACACGGTTATTCTCGTAATTTTTTGTAGATTTTTTTGGCATATAAAACAAAAAATGGTTATCTTCTCCATTCTCAACTAGCTTTTAATAAAGAATTTAAAAAGGAGTAAAATTTATTCGAAATTTCAATAAACAATAAAAAAAGAAGTTTGGTCATTTGCCCATTATTGCAACTATTTTCTAATATGGACCTTTTAGGAATAATTTTTATTATAAATATATGGAAGACTCAGCGACGAATTGCGCAAGGCAGCGGGCTGGCAGCAACTAGATGCGTGAAGCCGAAGATCTGGCTAAGTGGCGCGCCTTGGGAGGGCCTATGGCCAGCTATGGACTGCCGCAGGCTGATGATGATAAATATAAAAATGACCACGCATTATTGAATTGTTTTATTTTTATTTGAATTTGTTATTTAAATGGAGTGAACAATGCACTTTCAATTGTATCACTCATGGATAACGTTTATTTTAAACAAAGAGATTTAAACTACTTAAATGTCTTTGATTTTATACAATTATTCGGGATCAGCTGCTGTATCACCGGCTTTGTACTAAAATAATCGTTTCTTTATTCAGGATCAGACTGGCTTAAAAGTTGAATCTATCTCTTATTCCGAGAAGTGTTTTCAGAAAACGACACGTTTGGTGGATCCAAAAATTCAGACTGCAAAGCTTTACTTACAATGTTAACTTGAAACAATATATCCGCTAGTAGTTGTTATGAGTTTGTGAATAAGTATATCATACCTAGCAATTGTAACAATGAGCTCAAATTGCTTCACGTACTGAATTAGCCACAAGGCTTCTAGTGCTGGAATTGAGATATTTGTTTCTTTACGAAGATTCAGAAAGTCATCACGTCAATTTGTGATGCCTTTCATAATAGTCGTAAGAGTAGTGAAAGCGAACATCAGGCTCAGGCTTGTAAGTAACAAAATATTCTCGTATTTCGACTTTTCCATTCATCATAATCATTACAGTCCTTCACAAGTCCACTGCTGAACATAGGCCTCCTCCAAGTAATGCCACAAAGCAAGGTCCCGAGCCACCTGCATCCATCGACTTCCTGCATGTCATACCAGGTTGTCACTCCATCAAGTGGTGACCTATCCGTTGGGAGACACCATTGAGGTCATTGAGTATAGTGCTTAGGTCCTCCAGCGATTCTGCCATAAGGACTATATCGTCGGCAAATCGAAGGTGAGTGATGTACTCGCCATTGATGTTAATACCGTATCCTTTCCAGTCCAGTAGCTTGAAAACGTCTTCAAATGCAGCAGTGAAGAGTTTCGGTGATATAACGTCACCCTGACTTACACCTCTCTGCAGTTGGATAGGTTTCGAACTTTGGTTCTGTACTCGGATAGCCATCGTACCGCCCTACTGTACAAACACTTCAGCACTTCGATATACCGACAGTCTACTAGGTACGGCTGAAGAGACTGTAGCACCGCCCAAATTTCGACGGAATCAAAGGCTTTCTCATAGTCCACATACGCCAGGCAAAGTGGCAGATTGTACTCTTAGGTCTTCTGTTTAATTTGCAGCAGGGTATATATGTGGTCTATGGTACTGAAGCCTTTTCGGAAACAGGCTTGTTCGGGAGGCTGGAAGTCATCAAATCTGCGTGCGAGACGATTCGTAATGACTCTCGAAAACATCACGTAGACGCAGCTCAAAAAGGAAATCGGTCTGTGGTTCTTCAAGAGAGCGTTGTCGCCTTTCTTAAAGAACAAGTGGTTTTGTTCTTTAACCCCGCACTTCTGCTCCTCGCCTCCAGAGTAGTGCAGAGATTCTGAAGGACTTTAAGTGCCGGTGTTTCACCCGCTTTCAGAAGCTCCGCTGTATTTCCATCCTCGCCTCGGGCAATGCCGTTTTTAAGGTGCTGGAGAGCCATTCTAATCTTGTTTAGATTGACGTCTGGGATATCATCGAAATAGTGTCGGAGAAGACTTGCTCTTGGATCTAACCTCATAATCTCACTCAAAATCTCAGGTGTCCCGGAAACGATGCTGCCACACTCAGTCTTCAGCTTTGACAGTTGGCTCTCACTGGCAGACAGATCTCTAGCAAAGACTTTGGAGCCCTGGTTCAACTCGATCGCTTCTTAAATACGATCAGTATTAGAGAGAGGCCCCATTAGTGCGTTGCGCTGCGTTGCATCGTCGCTGCGTCATTTTCCATACATTTTTTATGACATGCCCCATTAGACCGTTGCGTCGTCGCGCGCGACTTTTTAACGGATCGACGGACAAGAGACGAAGCGGGAGGGAGGGTGATGCGCTGCGTTGTCGGAGCTCCGCTGCGACGACGGACAGTGATGCACTGCTAGAGGAGGAAGCTAGACGAGCGTAACGACATTTTTTATCTTACCATGAGTGAGCAGGATATTGATATAGATTTTCTCATATCCTTGGTCCAAGAAAGAGCCATTATATGGGATAAATCACACGAACTTTACAGTTATAAATTTCGTAAAGCGAATGAATGGGTAGCTGTTTGTAAAAAAATATTTCAAGATTACGAGGAGTTTGAGGATCCAAAAAAAGAACAAGATTGGTGAGTTGTTATTTATTATATTATTTGTAAATTCAATACATAAGTTAATTTATATCTTTTTCAACTGCCATGGTAAAGCCCCTTCTGGACTCATAAAGTAATTAGCAAATTGATCTCTGATAAAATTTTCGGCTAATGATTCTTCATTGCTATGGGGTCTCAATTGTGGGAACCTACTTATTGCCATATTGTCTTGTTGTTTTAACCCATCGTGTTGTATAACAAAATTGTGTAAAACACAACATGCTTTCGCAATATTAATAATTAAATCATATGACGTATCAATTGGCATATGTAAAATGCCATTTATTTGCCATGATCCCAAATGCACATTCCACGTATCTACGAGCTCTGCTAAGGCGATAATTATAAACTCTTTGTTTCACATTTAGATTGGATCCGCCGTATGGGCGCATAACATGCTTACTTAAACCAAAAGCTTCATCACCGACGAGTACATAAGGGATTGGTGGCTCGTTATTATGATCATTTCCAAGTGGTTGAGGATCAGGCAATGGTAATTCATTTCTCATTAAAATATTGTACAGTGTCGAATTTCTAAAAATAGTAGAATCACTTTCCTTACCATATGCACCCACGTCGACAAAAACAAACTTATAATTTGAGTCAACAACCGCCAGCAAAACAATTGAAAAATAATTTTTATAATTATAAAACAGAGAGCCACTTTTGTCTGGTTTTATTAAACGTATATGTTTCCCATCAATTGCCCCGAAGCAATGAGGAAAGTTAGCTTTGAGATCAAAATCTTATGCAATATTTTGTAGTTTTTCTACTGTGATCTCTTCTATGTACTGTGGTCGAACATATTTCCATATAGCTTGACAAACTCACGAAATAGTTCTAGAAATTGTTGCTCTTCCACGTTTAAATTTGAAATGCAAGTCGTTTATCGAATTTCCGCTGCCTAAGTACCTGAAATAGAAACACAAAAAATAAACAGGGTGGCTGGCCCATTTAGATTGGTCAGTGTAGACAAGTTAGGTACTTACACATTTTTTTCTTTCTTTGCAGGTAACGAGGTTGTGAAAAAATGGAGAAGCGTGAAGGACAACTTTTTTCGATACGTAAAAAAAATAAAAGAAAACAGTTCGTCTGTATCAGGGGCAAAACAATTGAAAAAATATCATTATTACAATCAGTTATTGTTTTTGATGAAAGTTGCCCAAAATAAAACTGACAGTAGCCTTGAAATGGTGTCTGAAGAAACGGAACGAAATGAAAACACAGCATCATCTTCTCCATTTCCTACAAAAGAAATGGCCTCGTTACCCCCAGGTCCTTCTCGCTACGTGCTGCAAGCCGTAAGAGATCAAACCAAGCAATAGATGATTTCGAGGCGCAAGCATAAGAAGCGTTGCAAGAGAAAGAAAACCGCCACTTATCATTTTTCAAAGGAATTTTGCCTTCTTTGGACAGCTTTACGGAATTACAAACTTTGACATTCCAAAGCAAAGTTATAAATATCATTACCGAAATTCGGTTCGGGGAACAGACTCAATCAACAACATGGCAGTCACGCGGATATCAAACTGGACAACATGCCCAGTCACCATCGCCATCGTCGTATCGAACAGATGAATTCGAAGCTACCTACTCAACCAACACTACGATTAATAATTTTACTGATGATAGTCAAGAAGAAGATTATAACTTTGCTTTGTTGCCTAATAGTAATACTTAAATTAAACTGTTTTTAAAGATAATAAATTAATAACTGATTAACATTACGAGTATTATGATATTTGAATTACTTACCTCAATGTAATACCAATCATTTCAATTGGTTCTAAAGGGTACCTGAATTTGGTATACTGCTTTTTTATATGTGGTTTTAAGGTTTCAACCAAATTATTAAAGCTGGCCACACTCATTCTAAAAAAATTGAAAAAAGTCTTTTCATCTAATAACAACTCCCTATATTCCTGCATAAAAAACTGACCATCACTATTTCTTAATGCTATCAAAGGAGATATCCAGATCTTCTATGATTTCTACGTTTATTTCGGCGGTGTCGTAATAAAAGCAACAAAAGAACACGTTTGTATCTATCCATTGCAAAGGCTGAACTGAGACGCAGCTGCGTCGGCGTGCATACCCTCTTGCGTTGCGTTGGCGCAGCGTCAACGCAACACAGGTGTGGCATACAATGCGTTGTTCCGTTGCGATGACGCGTTAAGTCTCGCTGCATGCATTTGGAGATCTGTCTGTGCAGTTGCCTGTATGCTGTCAAATCTGTTGACGATTGCAGCCTCATCTCCCGTCTAACAGCCATGAGATTAAGAGTGTGATCGGAGAGTTTTTGGTGTTCTTCTGCGGCGGATCTCGCAGAACTTAGCTCCGACCGCACGGACAGTTTCCACGAGCTTGTCATTCATATCGTCCACTGCATTGCAATTTTCTAGGCACTGAAAACGGTTACGTAACTCGAGCTGAAAGGTTTCGGGATTTTGGATTAGATTATTTCAACAGTGGTAGAGCCACGCGGCAGCTTTGCTGTTGCACGTATGGGCCGGCTCAAACCGGGGTGGTACCACGACCTCACAGAATACCGGCGTAAAGTGGAAGCTCTGCTTCCGCGTTTCGTCTGGTGAGTGCAGGTGGCCGGAGGCCCAATTCCCCCTCTCCCCATCAATATGGTAGCGGAATTAAATGTCAAACTACCCCAGGAGGGTACCAGCACCCCTGGAAAATCCCTCGCTGAGCATCCACGACCAAGTTACTCCACGCCTGAGCGTGGGTTCTCAGGCTGCCCCGCGTATTCTGAGGGGGGGGGACAAAATTCCGCTCAAGACTACAACTGCTCGGGGCAAACGGAGTGTAATAGTGGTGATATGAGGTCCACTATTAACAGACTCCGAGTGGTTTAGTAGCGGAGAAATGAAACTATTTTTGGATGTGCAGACGAATGGAGTATGGAGTAGTTTTTTGGTCAACCCTGCTTATATTTATATGTCCTGCTACGTCGTTAGTTTAGCAATAGTAACAATTTTTATTTACCTATTACAAGCCAATTACAATTCATACATTCTGACCAATAAAGATTAATCAAAAATATTATGTACAACTATTATGTACGCTCCATTTGCCGGCGTGAGGCTCGTGGATATCTTCTCGTAGCTGCGTTGCTGGACGGAGCTATAAAAATGGTGCAAATCGACGCGCGCGCGTAATCAGCGAGCGGCGGCGGCGTGGGACACATCTCCGGAACAGCAAGAAGAAGCGAAGATGCGGCGTTGAAGAAACGGCTCGAAAATGGTCGACGGATGCAGAACGTTAAATATATACGTCTGTAGCGGCGCTGTCGTCGCCGCCACAAGCGAAAACACACCGAAGCCTAAATCGCGCTATTAACATTCCGAATCATAGACAGTATGTATAGAACTTCTCCGAACTATCACTCGGAATGTGGGCCGCTCTCCGGGCAGAACACCTTGCCGGGCGGGAGATCCCCCTTTTCCTACTCCGGCCACAGTGGTGACCTCGACGTGATTTGAACACAACTAACAACCTTCGGAAACTCCAAGCTTCATCATCGTCATAGAATACCCCACCTATTCGCTCCCGAGCAGATATCGTCTGCAGTCTTCATATCCTGCAAGCCATCTAGCTTCACAAGGTTCATCGCAGCACTGGAATAATAATGCTTTCTGTTCCTTTAAGCTACTCTCTGCGCAATACAGTGTTCGACACAGCTCTGAGCCTTACTGCTCGCCTCTGCTTCACGGCACTCTCGCAGATTACTTGCCTTCTTCTCGACTCACCGCAGACTACAAGGCAATCTCCTGGCACTTGCACATTCGTCGGCAACGAGCCTGCACTATCGACCTTTGGTCTGATCAGGGGGGTGATGTAGCGGCGCTGTCGTCGCCGCCACAAGCGAAAACACACCGAAGCCTAAATCGCGCTATTAACATTCCGAATCATAGACAGTATATATAGAACTTCTCCGAACTATCACTCGGAGTGTTGGCCGCTCCCCGGGCAGAACACTTTGCCCGGCGGGAGATCTCCCCTTTTCCTTCCACGGCCATACGTCAAATTATCTCGCATCGATATGCAGCCCGCAGTATCTCAGTAGCCGGGGGTAATTAGGGAATAAATGTTTTCTTCAGACCTTCGCCTTCTGTGTTATGGTAGCAGCAGGGTATATATTATTTATTGCCGTTTAGGGTTGATTAGCCTGGCTGCTTCACGGAGCAACAAGACCAAGGCGACACCTGCCACGCTATCCTTGAATTTCTGCAATATCAGGGGACTTCACTCTAACCTAAACGCCGTCCACTACCATCTCGAGACGGCGAGGCCGGCTCTGCTCTTTCTGACAGAGACGCAGGTGTCCTCTCCGGCTGATGTCTCGTATCTCTCCTACCCGGAGTACAAACTGGAACACTCCTTTGTGCCCCGGGCTGGAATTTGCGTTTACGTCAGAGAGGACATCTGTTCTCGACGCCTCGGCAGTCTTGAAGGTTCTGTTCATGATTTTGCCTTGGCATATGGTCTGACACAACTGGTTACTTCGCCTACGCGGATTCCAGATGTGGAGGATCATGCACCTTCCCTGTTGTACCTTCTGCTGACCTCTCACCCGGACGGATATCAGATCTCCGTCGACGCCCCTTTGACTCCTCGGACCATTATCTTGTCCGGAGAGTTCCCTTGGGGGCGGGTTTGCTTCTCGCCGGACGATCACAACGTTGTTGCGGATTCTGTCTCTGATGTGGTACTTCAGGGTATGAAAATTTTTATTCCTTCCTCTGTGGTGCCCATCGGAGGCAAATCTCAGCCATGGTTTGGTCGCTCCTGTAAAATAGCATCAGGCTATAAGCAGGAGTGCTAACCAAGCCTGGGCTGATGCATCAACGGCCCGGGATGTAAACACCAGCGCTCTAAAAAAGAGGTATAATTCCGACTCCAGGTCCTTCAAAAGAGTCATTGCCAAGGCAAAGTCAGAGCACATAGGCAATATTGGTGAGAAACTAGTTCACCTTCCTTCTGGAACCCATGCATTCTGTTCTCTCGCCAAGGCTGTCCAGGGGAATTTCTGTCAGCCATCTCTTCCATCTCTGCACAGGGAGGACGACTCACTGGCCCATGCCGCAAAGGAGAAAGCCGATCTGCTAGGCTCTTTCTTTGCGTTCAACTCGATCCTCGATGACGGGGGGAGTACGCCACCGACCATCCCGCGGTGTGAGTGCTCCATGCCGGAAGTGCAGTTCACACAGCGTTCGATTCGCAAAGCACTCCTCTCCCTAGACATCCACAAGTTGAGTGGACCTGACGGAATCCCCCCCATTGTGATGAGGACGAGTACTTCAGAGTTAGCACCGGTTTTAACGCGTCTTTTCCGGTACTCCTACTTCCTAGGCGTAGTCCCAAAATCATGGAAGACGGCTTTCGCGCACTCGATCCATAAAAAAGGCGACCGCTCAGACTCGTCCAACCACCGTCCTATCATCATCACCTCCTTGTTCTCCAAAACAATGGAGTCCATGAGATACCTTGAGGATCACGAGCTGATTAGTGATCGCCAATACGGTTTTCGCCGTGGTCGATCAGCTGGTGATCTTCTGGTCTACCTAACTCATAGATGGGCGGAGGCAGTAGAGTCCAGGGGGGAGGCATTGGCCGTTAGTTTGGACATTGCGAAGGCCTTCGATCGGATTTGGCACAAAGCGCTTCCTTCGAAGCTCCCTTCCTGTGGGCTTCCCGAGAAATTTTGCAATAGGATCACCAGCTTTCTTGCAGATCAGAGCATCAAGGTCGTTGTAGACGGTACAAGCTCCGATTACAAGCCTATTAATGCTGGTGTTCCACAAGGCTGCGTGCTATCGCCAATGCTGTTTCTTCTGCGTGTCAAACCCGTAACATTCATTACTATGCGGATGACAGCACTGGTGATGCTCTTTACACCGACCGTGCTAATATTTCTCTGGAAAACGTCTCCGAGTACCGGGACAAACTTGTGTCTGAAGTCGAGTCATGACAATCGTTTTCATAAAACCCAGCGTATAAATTATGTTTGAAGCGCACAGACTTGAACGCATGACTGAGGTGAGGTATGAAGGAATGCGTAAGCAAGCAGCGCGCGCGTACATTCTCGTTCCCGTATTCTGTTTGTACATGCGCGTTCTTTCCCGTACGAAAGCCGATTCTCACGTAGATCGTATTGTGTGAGGGCGGCTAATAAGCGAATTCCCGTACATTTTACGGAGTGTACTTGACATCTTTGCTATAAATCCATGACTATTCACACCGTAGTAATTTTGTCCACCCATTAATGTAGTATTGGCATTCATTGTAATTGGCGGGTTTAGCCAAGTTGACGACAGTGACGTCACATGACAGGTTGATTTAATTAATTTTTAGTTTTTTATTAACGTTAACGATTGTGTAAATTCAACTTGACTAACCCCACAGATTTGCTCTAATGATATTTTTGATATCCAATACACTGATTTGAATTTGTCTTCTCACATTTGAAGATTCAGCAGTCTTAACTTGGCCGCAGAGTTCACGAGAAATAATTGTTTTGCATTGTAAGCATCCGAGTATCTTTCTACACATATTACGTAGAACTGTTTTGTTGTATTACAGGTTTTAAGGTCATAGTCGGCTACGTGCTATGACCTCGCAAAAACTACAATATCTGCGCATATAAGCCCCGCACGTTGATATTGCGACTGGCGACCATCTTAGTGACGTAGTCGAACTCTCAATACCGTTCGCAAGGTCAGCCAGCGCTTACGCGTATAGAGTACCTCTACCACGTGTTTTTATAGCTTTTTATTTTACATATCCTGTTTTATTTTTATTATTGTTATGTCATACTTATTCTGTTACAATGAGTAAGAAATTAATTAACAGCCGTGCTCGTGAAATGATTATTAAAATGGACAATTATTTTGTAAGAACAGTTTTAAGAGAAAATACAAAGAGTATTTATTGAGTACGCAGAAAATGTCATAAATATAAAAAAAAATAAAAATTAGGCAGGGGCTGAATATCCCATATTTAGTTATATGCAATTATGTAATTTACATTTACTACCAATATTCTTTTTTATAACCATTACGTTGTTCTAGCATAATTATTATATTTAGTCTGAATAAATAAAACACTACTAGCTCTACTTTAGCTGTAGTAGCTCTTACTTTTAATATTATTATTTTTTTCATGTTTATATTATGTTTATCTCTTGTACGTGTATATTAATTATCAATTTATTAATAGAAATATTATGATAACTTGTACTGGTCAGTTATATAGTTCTTGTACTGGCTGAATGAATAAATAAATAATTTAACACTAAAAGCTATTTGTAATATATTCAGTGATGTACGCGTACTGTTATACTTTAGCTCACTAAGAAGGTATATGGGTGCTGACAGAATGACAGAGTTGTAGATTCTCTGCAACACATGCTGAGTCAGAACCCTTTCATTGTCCTTCTAAAAATATCATTTTTGTGTTAGCTTAACTTTTAAATATTTTATTAATTTTGGTCAATGAATAAATATTTTATTATTATTATTAAAGGAGAAAGAAAATATTTATAATTAAATTACCTATAAATATATGTATATAATCTTAATACATATAAATTACGTGTCACGTTGTTTGTCCGCGATGGACTCCACTTAACCGATTTTAACCAAATTTGCACAATGTGTACAGTTTGGTCCAACTTGAGAGATAGGGTAGTTTTTTTTGCCCATGAGTAACCCACAATATTTTTTTGTGACTAAGGATTTTTAATAGCACATGACAAAGGGTCGTCGAAAATGGCAGAACAACGTCTGGTTGGCAAGCTGTTGTATGCCAGCCATAATAAGTACATATAATATATATATATATATATATATATATATATATATAATATATATTATGGCCGTGGTAGCTCAGTGGTTAACGCTCGCTGTAAATATAACAGAACGCGAGTAACCCGGGTTCGATCCCCGCCGGCACCAATGAAATTGTTAATTGCAATTTCAAGTGCTGATTTACCACGTGCTCGGCGGTGAAGGAAAACATCGTGAGGAAACCTGCATGTCTGAGGAATAAGAAAAAAAAATATTTCGAAGACATGTGAAGTTCGTCAACACGCATTTGGGCAGCGCGGCGGACACTTCCTTGCCCTAAACCCTCTCAGAAATGAGGGGAGGCCTGAGCCCAGCAGTGGGACGTATATAGGCTGTAACTTTACTTTTTTTATATATATAATTACATGTCCTAAACTACTCAACCGATTTTAATAAATTTTGCACACCGTGTGCAGTTTGGTCACACCTGAGAGATAGGATAGTTTTTTTGCCCATGAGTGACCCACAATTTTTTTTTGCGAATTTAAGGATTTTTAATAGGACACGACAAAGAATCGTCGAAAAGGACAGAACAACGTCTGCCTGGCAAGCTAGTATAATATAAATACCTATAACCCAAGGTTATTAACATTTTTCACCAGAGGTGGCAACACCTTACACGAAAAAAAGATTAACGTTTTTGTTGTCTGTACTTTTTGCGATGGATGACGTCACGCAGCTGTTATTGTGACAAGGTTTCATCGCAATATCAACGTAGCGGGGCTTATACTTAAGAAATCTTTAACCACACAGTTGATTCAAAAAGGCTGCCAATCCTAGTAGGATTTGTTTGTTGCAATTATTGATATTAGTAATGGAAATATTAGTCTTGATAGCGACTCGAGAAGCATTGAACTCTTTGTCTGTAATAGGGGCTAAAACCGTAGCATGGCTGTCTTTTTAACTTTTTCTTTTTAATAATCAAAAAACCATATTGCTTTGGTTCTTCTAGATACTTGTTCCAAGAAATTCCTCAATTTTAGGAAGTTTTCGCCATAACCGTCAGGCTCAGCAGGCGAATTGATGATAGATAATGCACTTTGGTCATGTACTTGTAATGTTGGTTTAGCTTTAGCCATAGTTATTTAATCATTGATACCAAAAAAATGAGGGTATTATGAAAAAATGAAACAACATGTTTAAAAACAATAAAATAGATTTTCATTTATTGTGAGACGAAAAATACAACAATGGGACTTATCACCTAAAATGGTTAGTGGCAGACTGTCATGTCAAAACAACTGATTGTTATGCAGGCTTCGGCGTCGGCGGGGGCGCCGCGTCTGCGTTGTCGTAGACTCCTAATTTATTATGTCTTTCATCGGGAAACTCGTGATACGTAACGAATAAACGAAAATATCGCAATATAATACACAAAACGATACAATGATCTCACTAATCATTGAAACCGTAACTAATATTAAACATGTGAAAGTTTGAATAGTTTTAAACTTTTTTAACTAAGTTTTTTAAAAAGGCTTTATTGATTCGAAGCTAATACTTAATTACTTACAAGATTGTTTAATAGTTTGGTATAGGCGCCACTCATCAGTTGCTATTTGCGCGATCGAAGAATGGATCGCTACGGGATGCGCCTAAGGAGCTCACAAAATAAAACGTAACAACTCTCAATACCGCTACTATGAAACGTTCTATTCAAAATTGAACATTGCCGATTCGCTAAATCGTTTGACTTTATTATTATTTATTTTATTATGTTTTTATATTTTTTTATTACTAAAAACAAGTGGGCGGCGAGCGGTCTGCCGCTCCTTCACGGGTCGCATCCGACTCGTCACTAAGTCCTTTAAGTACATGCCTTACTTTATAAGTTCAAAATGCCACTGCTGCGATCCTACGTCGCCTATGTCTGCCAACGTGAACGCTGCGCTCTGCGTCAGTGTGCGTGCGACTCACACGTGAGAGCGAAACGCATGATGTCCTTGTCGCTTATATAAGGCCACTGCTTGTTGCGTCCGGAGAGTGTACTCGCTGTGTGGGTACACAGTATACACCATGCACACAAGTAGCACCGAGTGTGCTAGTATGTGCGTGCACGCCTGCCGCACGCACACGGCCGCAACGAGCGCGGTGCTCGTGCCCCGCTATTGCTCATAGAGAAAAAATTCCAAAATCAATTCGTTACACCGTAGACTATATTTGTTTAATAAACTTGAAGTATTTATCAATAATCAATAAGTACATTTTAATAATAGAATAATTAGTACTTGTTTCATAAGAGACTAGCATTACAAATAAATACCTTCAGCTATACAATTTAATGTTTATTTCTATTTAAACATTTTGAAGATGTTTAAAGTGGACTACGTCTCGGTTTGTACACAAGAAACACGCTATACGGTTTCTTGTGTAGAAACCATAAATTTGATGCGTCTACGCTTCGAGATATGACTTAAATATATAGGTACTTAGATTTAGGGCGAAAATGTCGTAAAAACAAAAAGAAAAGGTTATTGAAATTTATAACAAACACCTTAACTAATAGTTCAATAATTTAGTTGCTGTTGGCATGAGGCGCGCGTGGGGGCGACGCTTACAAAAGCGCGGCGCGGCGCGCCCACGGCGCCGCTCGCACTCCTCCATAAAAGCAATACAAAAACTTTCATTCCGTGTGAGGTGACACGATGCTATGCGAAAATTTCATGTTTTTTTTCCATTATTATTATTTTCAAAAAACACACGTCCATTCGCTCGTCCTTGCGCTTAAATCTAAAATTAATAATTAGACAATATTTTTATTTGTTCAACAGACGCGCGGCAACGCGCGTATTATAATAAAATATTTTCAAAACAATCGAATAAACACACTAGTTAACAATAACTTATGCTCTGACACGCCGGCGGCGGGCGGCCGCGGACGTTCTAAATCAAATACGAAACGTGATACCTCGTTTTTAAAAATATGCCTTTATACACAGTAGCGTTACGTTTACATTAGAGCGATGGCAGCGAAGTGAGCGTCCGCGCGGGTGGCGCGGCGCTGGCGTGACACGCGGCGGGGCGCGCTGCAGGGCGCGCGACGGCGGGGCGTGCTGCGGGGCGCGCGGCGGGCGCGCTGCGGCGTTACACGGCGGTCTCGGTGTGGCTGTGGCTGGAGAGGCGCTCCACGTCCAGGTCGTGCGGCGCCAGCGCGTCGCGCGCGTCCCGCGCGTCGTAGTCCACGCTGGACGTGTGCGAGAAGCGCTTGGAGAGCGCCGTCTGCTTGCGCAGCGCCTCCGCGAGCGCCGCGTCGGCCAACGAGCCGCGCGAGTCCAGCCCCTGCCGGAACGCGTTCACCACGCGTATCTGCGCGGCGGCCCGAGCGTTAGTCGCGCACGCGCTCTCCACTGCGCGACACTCGCACTCGATACGCTCTGGCTCTGCTCTGGTCTTTATGGACGCAGCTACCTTAGCTTACATTTGTTTTATGTAAACCTCGTTTTATTAGTTAAAAGCGCCTCCAAAAGATACCGATATCTTTCTACAGCAACTATATCGTATTTATATAACTTTTAAAACACGGTGACAATAACACTAAATCCCTCCCCCCTCCTTTGGGAGAACTTTATATGCGGATTTTACGGGTTGGGGAGGAGATATTCATCATAGAAAAAGAACACATTGTGTAACTGCGCCCATCAGAAGTAAGTAATCTAAAGATTTACAAACGACATATTCTCTTCGCTAAAGCAGCAAGATATGTCGTCTACTGTATTTCAAAAGATCGAACTTCTTTATAATGTTATAGCATATTCGTGCTCTATATACAATGTAGATTTAATGCGACAAACAAAGACATGTCAAGTGCAATCACGCTCTTGTATTTAAATAACTTACTTAGTACAATTTTTTTATATATTTTTACATTTAATAAATTAAATATAGAAACAATATAAAAAGCGTGATTTCAGAGTGAACACATTCGTGATTGACAACTCTGTAGAAATTCGACTTAGAACATTTAGAGCCAGAGCGGAGACGAGTGTCAGGCGGTGGTAGCTCCTTTTAATTCGTCACATTTATTTTTTGTTTTATTTGGACACAAATACTCCACGGCTAAAACAATCGGAACTCAATTTTATTTTCCTTTTCAAAATTTAACACAATCTTACACTTTTGGAATATCCAAATTGTTTTAACAATGGAGTTCAAAATAGCGCCATTATAAGTATATAAATGGAAGGACAATTCAGAAGGAGCGACACCGTTGCAGGAAGAGCAATGTACAATAAATTCATTAGTAAATGAACACAAATGGAAGCACACTGAGCCATTAAAAATAGGCGAGAAAGCGTAGGTTATTCGAAATTCCAGTCACAGTAGTCCGTAGTTTGCCGCTAAGGGGCGGTCATTTCATGCCATGCAGTGAGCGAAAATTACGCGCTTGCTTCCTCGCCCTCATCTCTGAATACAGACATTTTGTTATGACCCGAGTTCGATGCGACAGTGTCATGTATATTTGGCTATACCTTTTCTGTGGATCGTGCAACTCTGTGACTGCATTTGGATATTGACCTCTTCTATGTGTGCTACTCGCGTAAGCTGAAGACTGCTGCCCTATTACATGGACGCTAGGCAAACACGAAGCAACAATGATCGTCGTCCATATTGCCTGTAGGAATCAAAGCTGCAAGCTGAGTGACCTATACCAACTTTCATACCTCAACCTATGTCGGAAGCTTAGCCTGATAGAATTCAATTTTCAAACTAAAAGCTGTCGATATTTTAATGGTCAATGCTTCTGATATGGATTTAAAAGCTTCGATGACGAGCCCCTGGTGTCTGACAAATATTTTTTTGTGGTTGAATTATTTATATCGGTGCAGAATGTGAAGCAAAATAATATATATAAAGACTAACTACTCTGATGCCAAATTAAATTTGTAGCCTGTTTCGAGTGTCGGCCTTACTAATGGAGCAAGCTTGCTATTTTTGCCAGTGCTAATTGAAATGGTTGGAATCATCTAATCAAACTACATTTTTACTTTTTTATTAAATCTCAATCGATAAAACATTATGAAAATTTTAGGAACAAATTACTTGAGTTATATACAATAAATTATATTCAAAAAGCTTTTTGATGTGAGTATATTACGATTCTACATTTTGCTTTCTTTTTAAATAATGAATACTGAAGACGTGATTATGTACTGCTGCTATTAAATTACTTGGGAATTATGAAAATTCAGTAGCTAACAAAAATTTTTTGATAGATTAAAATTATCAAAATCACCATGAATTTAAATGTATCACATTTGCGTAAATTACTTACAAACACAGCAAAAACGGAACGTTAACATTACAAGTAGTATTACATTAAATTACGGATAGCCCATGCGTTAGGACGATATGCGTAGGTGATACACATGCGAAATAATCCTGACCGTTCAATTTCATACAACTCTTCTCACAGATCACTTAAAAAAATTACAATTTATTTAAGAAAAGTCGTGAAACAGAAGGGTCAGTGTGGACAATGAACAGTAACAGAATGTATACAAGTTGTTAAGTATAGAGTACAGTTAAAACGTAAAACAAAGTCCAACATAAAAAAGTCCAAACGTAACAAGAGATGTGAGTGAAAGAGCAGGCTTTGTATCAAATCTTACAGCTTGATCGGTGGAAGTCTTGCTGTAGGGCACCGGAATCAAGCGCTCCTGTAACTCGCCACCTATGACCTTCCGTGTGCAATGGGGATTCATGGAAAAGAAAATAAAAACAAGAACATGAAGTAAAAGACTCGTGACACGAAGAGAGAGGCTGAGGACGGCGGGCGTCCTTACGTAGAGATAGGTAGAGATAGTAAATCGCAGTGCTTTGGATCGAACGCGATTCTTTGAAAAAATAATGGAATTTGAATCCTTTTAAAAAACTTCAGCCATGCGCTAACATCAGATTTTAGCTGCATTAATCTCTAATTTCGATTATGATAAAAACATAAAAATCTTACAGTTATAAGATACCGAATTTAATAGAGCGGCGTGACCTTGTCAAGTCGACAGTTTCGTCTAACCACTCGCCTCGCATAACAAACATATTACTATAAAACAGTTAATAAAAACTTAATAACACTTGAGATATTTTTAAAAATGTTACAATTAATTGCAGAATAGCGTTCGATGTGTTAGCAGTGAAGATTTCTGCACCAAGTGACAGAAGTTCGGAGATTGAACGAAGCGGTGCGCTTCGCGAAGCAATGAACAGATTTTAGGAAGAAGATATCAAAAATAAAATAATACTAGAACATAAAATACAAACGCTGGGTTTACGCATCATATTACCTTAAGAAGCACATTCATGGGGTGTGCACTTATAAACTAAGTTTTATTTTACAATATCCATCCAGGGCTCCATTATATCCGTCGTTTAATTAGTTAAGGCAAAATAAAATAATTTAAATTTAACAAAAAATAAAATTATACATCGATCGGGAAATGTACATTGCACATTTATTCTCTTTTAGATACAAATATAGTGAGTGCAACATTGAAATCTTTTCCCCTCCTAAAAGACGTCATAGTGTATGAGTTCGTGTATGTGGTTGTGCGTGTTTGTGTGCGATGCACACGGCACTCGGTTCTAGCTTATTTATTCATGCTCTATCAAAAGCACACTTATTTTTATGAATTATTTTACTCAGTTGCTCACATACCAGATTCTAACAGAACTTTTTTTAACTAACGCACAGAAGCAATACAATGGTGAATTCACTACAATGTAAACTACATCTAACATTTAAGATACTTTACATTGCACAAGTCTAAGTCGTGAAAGCAAAAAGTAATAGATTAGATCACATATAATTAACACAGTATTAACATTTCAATATATTCATTCATACAGGCTGAGTTTTATTTCAAGACCATAAACAATTGAGCGTTTTTTTGGATGTTTTTGAATAGGCGTCTTTAATAAATGAATAGTTAAGATGGTCAGTGAAATAAAAATCATTACTATACAGTTTACACGTATAGCACACACCATCTAAGACGGTGTCTAACATCGCCTCGGTCCATGCTAGGACGGCGTGAAAGCTAAGCGTACTAACATCAAGACGTACGACAATTACGACCTTGGGCACAGGCCAATACAAATCGTTACAAAACACATGCCCCAAAACGGCCAGTTTACCTTAAAACGCAGCTCTCCGCAACGTGGCAGTTGGGTGAAATGAAAGTTATTTTGGAGTAGAGATACTTTATTACTAAACTTTAAGACAAGAAGCGTTAGAGGTAAAGAATTAATAGATAGTGTTTATTTATACCCATACCCCATCTGTATGTACGCTTCACAGGGAATTATGCGTCACTATAGTTCCGATGTAGTGGTTTTATATCTATAGGCGTTTATGAAACTGCTATAAGCGTAATGTTTTAATATTTTAAAAAGTTACTTTTTAATATTTTACATCTAACTTTTTCCGGTTTTACACCGAGACACGAATTATTCTTTAATAATTTTTAAAATACGCTAGTTTTATCATGTTTAATATTATAATGTAATTAGCAGGAAATGATTGAAATTTCACTACGAAGTGCAGAGTGACGAGTTTTAGCGATTCGTATATGTATAGGCACTATATTATCATTATTATAGAAATATACACACATAAATGAATCATTTAACAAGATACTTAAATTTGCTTGAAATCTAGTGAAGTGGTTAAAGTCAATCAGATATTTTTAAATAAGAAAACCGAAAATAAAACTGTAATAAAGAAAATATTAAATTATCAAATTACCAAAACAGTTGTGTAAGTGTGTTTAAAGTGTAAATAATTCAGTATAGGGAACACGTAAAAAATAAATGTGCATGCATTTGACTGAAAGTCTCGACAAATAATTAATTAAATATCCAATTTAATAGTCTACTAATATATCAAACACTTCATGCACGACTTCCTCTTACAGAATTGCAGTAAATGAAATATAGTATCTGTGCTCGAACACAGAATGTTCACCACAACAAACATAAGGTTACCAGATTTCACAATCACTACGGAGTCAAAACACACTTAGGCTCTAAAACTAAAAACAAAGATAGACGAACATAAAAATAGAAATTCTATTGTCGTTCACATAAATATCTAAGGCATTCTCTTACAAAAAGAAATGTAGAAATAATAACAAGCAAATTTAAATATCACGAGTACTTAATCCAAAAAACGTTTATAAAAGCACTTGAGTTGCACAACATTGTGTTTTTTTTTTTATAAAAATGGCACATGAATTTACCGCATATTAAAATATTATCTCACTACGACACAACATTGTTAAGTCTATTTGAAAAGTATCACGAATATTTACAAAAAAAAAACAAATTAAGCAATAATGTTCGGATAACAAAACTAACCGAACTATGTTCTATATTTATACGGCTATAAATATGTTTAATAGCAATAACATCACTAAATATTTTATATATTGAAATAGTGCACCATATTTATTTAAAATCTAGTTAGATATTTTGCAAAAAGTCTAATAATATTCTTCTTACTCTAATACTTTTAGTAAATAATGTATATTTCCGTATATTATTTTATTAATTTACATTTAAAATTTTAACTTTTCTGTTTGTTTCAATGTAACGAACGTTAGTAGCGTAGAAATTGTTAATTAATATATATATAAATTTTACTGAATATGGCAGTAGATTGGGGTACTGTGAATGCCCATGGCATCCGTTTAAAAGCTACATACATTGTAATCAGCAAGGTTTCAGTAAAAATATGAACGGTTGTATTTTTTGGTTTGTATAGTTGATTTATTCATCGCTCTGATGCGATATGGGGCTGAGTGCCGGCAGGGAACTGCCTCCGGATTGCACGCTGATCCTCCGGTGCTCCGCCAAATAATTATTGACAAATATCCGACGGCCGGCCAATATGTCCGCTTTTTGCTGTAAAACAACATCACGGAGGTGTCAGTGAGCCAACGCGGCAATGGCGGCTCGTAGTGTGGCGGTAACCAAACTGCTTTTGTTTGCCAGTATGAAAAAAAATCACCGGCGTTCCAAAATCAAAAAGAAACTTCCTAATAGTAAAGAGAGAATGTCACTCATAATTTGGCTTTGGAACCCCGCCGCTAGTTATACGTGATTTTAGCTATTAGTAAAGTGGGGAGTATTAGAAAGCAGTTTCGTTAGTTAGTGGCTAATGTTAACTAGGATTGGGGGCATTCACACTAGCTGGATCGGGGCGTACGAGGGCATCCACTAGCAATAACTAAGATAAAAAAAGAAATATAATAATTTGTAATTACCGTGTAGAAAGCGACTACTAGGCGATAGAAATATAAAATCCGGTATGTGAGCTACTTCGCGACGGTGTTCTGCATTTTTTTCCAGCCAATTATAGATGTGTTTAAAAAAGGTATTAAATGAAATATCGATACAATTGAAATAAATAATTTTATTAAAATGAGTTTTTTATATTAAACTGGTCGTTTATATAGCCGGTTAAGAATGTATATTTAAAATTACAGTAAAACCTCTTGTTAGATGAAAATAAGTTAAATAATTAAAAATGAAATCAACTTATTAAATAAGTACTTACACAACCGAGTCAAACGTAAACAAAAAAGAAATTATTGTATAAGCCGTTTAATTTTTTAATGATACTCTAGGTTAGATTTATATATTTTAGTTTTGATGATATAGTGGGGATATTAAGGTTTCGAAGCATTTTATTTCTTTTGTACGACAGCTTACATACTAGTGTACGCTTTAATTACAGTGATAAACGAAACTGATTACTTTTTCTTTGAAAAGTGATATACTTAATAGTACATAATAAAATAACATTGAATTTTTGAAGCTCTGATAATATAAAGGACATATAAATTAATTATTTATGATTCACTTTACATTATCAGAGACGGTCATTTATAAAATACAAATTGTGCATACTCACAGACATCTGTTTACATGCATAACGCTGTAACATAAGCAGTTTCACACTTTAAATGCAAAGCGAAAATAATTAAAATACAATTAAAAAAACAACATTTGTACCAAAAAAGAAAAACATTTTAACATCTCTTCAATAGATACTCTGTACTTACAATCTAAGAATCGGCCACCATTTTGTTGACATGTACTAATCACAAAATGGCCGCTCGCGTAGTTATCACCTTCCATACGAGGTGCTCGTCAGTTATTATTAAACTTATCGACCTAAAAGTCTGAGTTATGTTTTGTGACGTATGGATATACAGAGTTAAGGTCGCTTATTGTTTATTTGGGGCGAGTATGTACCGAAGACTTGGGTAAGACGTGCAACACGTTCATGCGCTAACTATACGTTATTCGACTGTACCTACGTTACTTTGTTAGACCAGGTCCAGCGTCGTAAGTACACCGTACCACTGCCTACGCGAGTCGGACCTAAACTTACCGTTAACATCTGAAATAGAGCGATTCTGCTAAAACTGGGCGGCCCCCACCATACATAACGAGTGGCGAAAAAAAATGCTATGGAATTTGCTTCAAATTTTATTATTAATTGTAAATAGTTCAATAATTCTCGTAACATACGCAAAACAATGTTTTAGATCTTATACACTTGTAAAAGTCCTTTTGCATCGCATGTTCAAGCTTTAAGTGTCCCTTTGTAAACTTAGGTGCGGATAACATGAAAAATATATTATTATACAAATAGATAAAATGTTAAATTTTAGCC